CCCCCGGCGGGGGGCAGCTCCTGCCGCGAGAGCTCCTCGGCCGCGCCGACTGTATCGCAGAGAGCCGCTTGCGCCTCTGGACAGCCCTGAGGCAGCAAAAGCATTTACACACGAGTGACAGTACCCCTGAGAGGAGAAACATCAGGTTTATTTTGGTCAGCTCTGACTGTGGCACGTTGCCTGCAGGTAACAGTTCTAGATCAGTGCCAGATAACAAGCTTTAACTGTGTTGCCTGCTAGGTTATGTAAGGGCTAGTCACAGTACCCCAAAGGGCTAGAGGAACGACAACAGGTGGGGGACCCCAGTGACCCCATCAGCATGGTGCTGCCCTAGCTAGGCTGCTCCTGGGACCCTCCAGGGAGGTGGTTGGCCTCAGGGCCTGGGCCCCCTCTGGCAGGGGCACCTCCGGGGTGAGCTGGGCGCTCCCAAGATGCCCGCAGACTGAGGGTCCCTGCCTGCAGGGGTATGGGGCTCACAGTGGGGTACCATGAAAGACCATTGGGGGAACGTGCAAAGCTTACTGTGTGATCCTTTCAGGGGATTGTGGGAATGCGTGAGACTTATTACGAGTTGTTTAGCGGAAGATCCGGGAAGGGAGGCGTTACAGGGGATTGGGAGATAGGAGCACGAGAAAATACAAGGTAGGAAGTGGGGAATGCTGTGCGTACGTATGTTGCTGGTTGGTAGGTTTGGTAGACCGTGGTCTGTCCTGTCCTCTTAGTAAAGCATTTCTCGCTTTTTTTGCGGTGAAGGGACGCTCTATTCTGTGTGCACGTGTATGCATGGAGGTCTAAGTGCCAGCACCTGGAGTTGGACCACCGTCCAAAGAGGCCCATGAGTCTGTGGTACCAGCAACTGGGGGGGACTGGAGTATGTGCAGGTTGTAGGTGAGTGGCTATGTCAGATTGTGTAATTGCTAGCGGACATCAAGTCGCACTAGCCAGCAAGCAATATGCTTCAGAGCCAGGTATCCAGGATCAGATACTACAGGGACCAGGGTCGGCCAGTTACCTACTGGAGGTGGGTCCAAGCCAGCCGCTGGAAAAATCGAGGCGGGGCGAGGAGGGTGTCTTAAGAGTCAGCTACTGGGAAGGCCGTCAGTCTGGACCAGCTACCAGAAAGATCTACTTGTGTGTGTCTGTGTGTGAGGTCAGAATACAAGCAGCTGGAGTGGGGCTGCTGGCCTGAAGGATTCACGTACCCTGCTGCCAGCAACTGGGGAGACCAAGGAGTCCAGGGGCCGGCTACTGGCCAGAATATCTAAGGCCAGCTACTGAAGGGATCCATAGTGTGTGTAGATACATATGTATATATATGAATACATTCTACTAGCAGACTGCTATCCTGACCAGCTGGTCAGGAGGATTTAGGCTACTCGTATCTTTCACGTTTGAGTGCTTTGTTGATCTGTGTGGCTGGTCATATGCATTTGTACCTACTGGGAACTCATTCTTAGCCTCGCTACTGGCTGGACCTGGGGCCATCGAGATGCAGCGACCTTGTATCTATTAGGCTACCAGATTTGGCAACTTTTAATGTCACCCATCTCGGTGTCCGTATCTTTGTAGTTGTATTGTTCTGCTTTTCATTCCCATCAGTCTCGTGCAGAATCTTTAACCTACTGCTGAGGCTCCAGTGGTTCTCATGTGTTGTTCTGTCAGGTAGGCAGCAATTCTGTGGTGAACTATGATGCCAGAAAATGCTATACGTGTAAATAACTGCAGCCTGCAGGATCTCGGTCCCAGATTAATACAAGGCTTTATTGATGTCCCTGTGCGATGAAAGGACATGGAGACCCTTACTCTGCTAGCCTTAGAAGTGTCCTACTCCAGGAAGGAAGACAGATGATAAAGCCGTTCAGAAGTTAAAGCCCTCTAAAAAAAGAGCCTGGAATATTCCCAGTTGCTGTGAAAAAGGAGGCAGTCTACTGTAGAAATTAACAGCCCCCAGCAGGGCAAAACCCACAGGAACGTATCACGCCATCTGGTTTCCCTGTATGTCAGTATTCTTCCTGTGACAAAGCACTGAAGGGGAAACCGTACCATAAGTTATTTTATTCTCAGAGTGCTCTGAGTTTTGGGTATGACTTATAGCACGTTATTCTATGTTCATGGACCAAAGATAGGACTGGCATAGACAAGAGGGGATTCTGGTTTACTTGTTCTGCTATACAGAGTCCCACAGAAACTGAAGTTGCTGTTTTATCTTTCAGGGAATAGTAACATGCTTATTTCTATATAGAGCTTTCATCTCTTCCACTTTCCCTAAGTACTCTGAGTAGATGATCTGGGTCATGTATGTTCCCCTATGGAAGGTATTCCCAATAACAATGATATTCAAGTAGCATTGAATCTCTTCTGTCAGCAGAATCAGACAAACACCTTCTTGTGCACAAAAACAAGATCACGGTTCAAGACTGGCCGGTGCAGAGTCGTTGCTTGCATCTTAAAAGGAGTCCTGAGGTTCTCACAGGGCCAGTATAAGATCATTCTAAACGTTTGGTCAGCAGTCGGAGAAAGTAAAAGAGCGACTGGAAGGTGCAAATCTTTCCCCTGCTCCTGGCAACCCAATCAGACATCGTAGAACAAGCGCACTAGCTGGTATCGGATTGAAAATGCAATTGTGCTGCCCAGGACCTAGGTAAAAACAAGAAAGACGTTTGAAATCTTACAGCGGTAGATATTTTACAGGCTGGCAGATTCTTCTTTTCCAGATGGATTTCTGGTGCTGTCAGACATGGTTTATTTCACTAAATGACAATATCTCAGTTAAAATATTTAGGTGTCACAAGATGAAAAGTAGAAGTTTGGCCAAAGTTCTCAGTTCTCTGCATCAGAATCATAACTATCCATGGGGGAATTGGGTATGTGCCTGTGCACGTTCACATTGTCAGACGATGCAGAGGTGATGAACAGCTGAGAATAACTCTTTCCTCCTTAATGAGCCTGTCTTTCAGTGTAACCCTATTGTTTGTAATGGGAAGTGCCTCATCTCAAAGCTATAATTCAGCAGCCTTTCAAACAGTCACTATCTAAACTTCTCTGCCGTGACTGGGATCAAGATGTATGTACTTCCTATCCTCTTCCATCCCTGAGGTAGTCTGCCTAAGCCCTGTTCAGTCTCCAGGCTTGTTTGTTGGAAGTCTTCCTCCTCAATTTGAATTTGCCTAAGTGTCTCTTCTCTTTTCTGATGAGACACTCTCATATAAGATGTATGAAAAAAGAATTTTATTATGGGTAACTAAGCGATACAGGCCCCTCTAAAAATAGAGGGCCTATAATATCAGGCAAGGGAGTTCACATGCTGAATAGAGGTAGCAGACAGCAGTATCTGTGAAGTATGTTACCTTTGTACTCTAAGTTGCTTCGGAAAGCTACCGCATCCTGCTCAGACTCCATATATATCATTAAGATACATACCAAACCTATGCAAGGCTACTAGCTGGAGGTAACGCTGGTACTGTGTTATTTGGTATGGTTAAAAACCAGAAACATGAAAAAGGCTGTATTAGGTCAGACTGACAAGGCAAGCACACAGTGATACTTTTCCTACTGTTTTTTCCGGCATCTGGCGATTTGTGCTTTGGGGAATCATTGGGACTTTGTTAGCTCTCAATGAGCAAAGTCGAGGGCAGGGAGGGGAATCTATTTCCTCTTTCAGCTATGGTAAACTTTGAATTCTCCTCAGGTTCCACAGCTCATTTGCTGCTTGTATGAAAGTATGACATTTTTCTCCCCCCATTCACCGTGACGCTCTTAAGACTGACTTGGATCTGTTTCTGTTGCAGAGTACATCTTTCTACCTGAAAGATCATGTGTCTGACCTGGATGAGTAGCAACAGGAGAGTGAGAATTCGCTCGTGGGTGGGTCCAGTCAGCTTTATAACAAAGTTAATAAGTGTCATATTATTGCACTCGGTGTATTCGCCATCTTCATCCATTCCACTCCTCACATCTACTATGTGCAAGATCTTTACGGCCTGGGGAAAGAAATATCATCGCATGCTATTTCACCAGGTATGTTTGCTGCTCACCATTTGGTGTTGCCTAGGATCCCTTTTGCTGTGCCCTCCCAGTGGGGTTTGACTCATGCTCTTACTGAAAAAACAGGACAGGCTTATGAGGGTCCTGGGACAACTACTAGGGTATGGTTACTTTAAAAGACCATTATTAATATGACTGAGTGTCCATGAGGGACAGTGACAGGATTAACGAGACTGTCTTCTTCTGGAGTTGAGCTAGGAATTAACCACTGTATTCAGAAGTTCTGCCTTGCCTCCCATCCTCTTCCTCTTCCATTTGATCATTACCTCAGAACATGTCTAGATTTCACTTGTCTTTCTCATATTACCTTCAGAATGTATGTTCCCAGGGCTGAGAGGCTCTTAGTTTTGAATTTGGAATAGCTCATCTCCAACTTCCCTGTACTAGGATTGAGCCTAAAAGAAACATTAAAATTTTAGGAGCAAGAAGATAGAATGGTCCCTGTGTAATCTGATGTCGATTGCTACCTGGGTAGTTCAGAAGTCAGGCCGGGGGGGGGACACAGAAATGATCTGATATACATAACAGCACCTGCTGATATGGTCCCTCAGATCAGGCAAAGTTGAGAGAAGATTCCTTTCCCCCCCCACTTCCCCCAAATGTCTGCATAAAGTTGTATGGTTTTAAAAATAAAAATCAAACGTGCAGAGACAATCACTGATATGGTATAGTACCTCAGAATGTCTGCTACTATGAAATCTTAGCAGATCGTACTCTAGTAACATTGACAGTGGCCTGTATCAATTTCTCTCAATTTTGTAGCTGGGGATAATCATAGTATAACATTGTTAAAGATCAGTCTTCTATACCTGGAAAAGAAATTATCAATTTCTTTGGGAAACCTGTATGACTTTGTGGGACTCGACCATAACTGGCAGAGCAAGGCAGCTACTTTTTAACTCTAGAGTCTATATTGTAAGGTTTTAAAAAAGAACATCTACCAACAATGTTTCTTGTTTCTTAGTTGGTGTTGGAGATAAAAGGCACCCACCTCTGGTAACATTACAGGTCAGTCACGTACATTACCTGGGCAGCCGGTGGCGGGGACAAGGAATGATGTGGAAGAGCTGAGGCAATGAGTAGAGGAAGTTGAGCACTTGTGGGATGAAAAAAAGCAGCATTGTTTTACTGAAGTGCCCTAAGATCCCCACCACAGCGAAGGTCATGCCAGCAAAGTAGCAGAAGGTGTCCCCAACAAAGACTCGGGATGGGTACCTGCAACCCACAGGGCAAAAGAGCAGAGGTCTGTCAAGATGACTGTTGCCGTAAAAATGACTATAATCAGTACAGCTGTTCCCGTGTGGCAGGTTAGAGGTCAAGAGGGAACTGCAGCCCCAGCTGGCTTGGTTTCAAGTAATGTAGACAATTCATTCTCTGCTAAACAGGAGTGTAATAATGATTTCACACTATACTAATGTAATTGCTGCTAGCATAGTTCTTTTGTGAAAGACAGCTGAAGCAGTCAGCCAGCATACCACATCCCAGAACCACAGAGAATCTTTCTCATCTGCCATACCTTCATGCTACATAAGGAACAGCAATTTCCCCGGACAAGTATTACCCCTGCTGCCTGGTCATGCACGCAGTAGCGCAGAGTAGGATACAAGGGCTGCAGCTGCAATGTTGCAGTTGGTCCATGAGTTTAGACCTGAAATACTCTGAGCAGAGGTCTTTTCAAATACCGATTCCGCCCTCCATCTTTTTGGTCATGCAGATCCGAGAGCAACAAGACTGTAGCCTGCAAAACTCTGTTCTGCCCTAAAGAACACGGAACAACTGCTGCAGGTATGTATGCTAGAAACTGAGAGACTGGAACCCATAGCGTGACTTGCAGAGAGTACAGTGTGTAAATACAGGCAGTGGGGCATCTGAGGCAGAGCACGCTGTGCAGTTTAGTGAACCAGTGCGACTGAATTGTTCAAGTAGAAACAAAAGCTGTCAATGGATTTTGCATTCTCAGTTCTGGCAAGAATCTTGTCTACATGCCAGTATTCCACCTGTGTGGAATTCCTTCTTTGTTTGTTTGAAAAGGGAGAAAGTAAAGACAGAGGACACGTCTCGGAATGTCCATCCTCTTACCAGTTGTGGTAAAACAGCCCCAGCGTGGTAAAAAAAAAGGGAATCATGAAGTAGAGAGAAAAAATGTGATCATCTCGATAATCCCCTGTAGAAGAAAGAAACAAAATGAGTTTGAGGTAAGTCAGGATCCATTCATTTTTAGTAATGCCAGATACTGAAATCTAGGATTCTAGCTCCCTTTGCAACCCCAAAATACGTTTTTCTTCCTTACCATTTAACTCTACAATGTTGAATATGATAATGGAAGCGGCAATCACCAGAGACTGTCCTGCTTCAATCCCATTAATTCCAGCAAGAATGTTGATGGCGTTAGTGCAGAACACGGCTAGCATGCCCATGTACACGTAGTAGAAGATACCTGCAGATCAGAGTGAGCCAAGCGCTTTAGCGTTCATATTTGAAGCAAGCTGTGCTTCAGTGTACTGAAGTAAAGCCTTGTACAACAGTCTGTAACCTAGCAAGCTCAGCAAATTTTGAAATCAGTAGCTTATTAACAAATAAATTCTCCTGTGAATCTGATATCACATGTACGCACACGTACAGCATGGCAACTGCTGCAAAGCGAGCCGGTATAGCAAGAGTTGCAAAATAGCAAAGGGCTGTGGCACTCTTTCTGTGCTTTGATCATTTTGGTATTGGCATCCGAGTGCCAGATACACGTGGCACTCAGGTGCCAATACCCCATCAGATCGCACACCCCCAGGATCCTGCAAAAATGTTTGGCGCCTGTCTATATGCAGGTAAATGCGTGCTGGGTTTCTGCATCGATAGCTGGGCGCTTTCCAGCCCAGTGTTTAGTTAGTGCAGTTATAACTTCTTGTTGATTGCTTAAGCAGAGCCTTCCTGAGTTTCTTCTGTAGCGTGAAAATTGCTATCTGCTACGTGTCACAGTTTCAGGTGACCACTTTCACCTGTCACTTATTGCTTAAGAATTGCTGGAAGCCATTGTCTAACTTACCCAGGTCCAAGTGCATGCCCAGTAGCACCCGGAAGGGTTTAGGCACCACAATGGTTGTGTTCCCAAAGTTGGTGAAGTAAACCATGAGCAGCGGGAGGGAAGCCATGGTAGGAAGAAGGAGCTTGTGGCGCCAGCGCAAGTTCAGAACGTCATCAGCAAAGCCCAGGAAAATCATGCAGCAGATGGCAAGGAGGGAGCCAATGAGCTCCACGAACTGCAGGACAGAGAACAGGACCCTGATTACTGGTGGCCGCTCCTCGCCCACGCCCGCCGTCCTCCCAGCGCCGGGCACTTCTCACCTCGTCGTGCGGGAAGGCCGTGCACTGCTCCTCCACAAAGCACCTCAGGAAGGGCACGGGGATGAAGCAGAAGAGGATGATCAAGAAGACCACCCCGCTGATCACGCCCTGCGCCTCGGGGCTGGAAGGAAGGGGAGGCGGGGAGTCAGCCCGGCCGGAGCGCCCGGCCCGGCCCGGCCCGGCGGGCGCCGCTACTCACATGGGCCTCCGCGAGGCCTTGTTGAGGTCTTCGCCGAAGAGCCTCGCCGCGAGGAAGCGGTCCTTGAAGGCCGGGATCAGCGTGAGTGTGGCCACGAAGCC